GTTTTCAAGTAAACCCGGCTGAGAGTCAGCAGGTCAATTCTTCAACAGCCGTGACAAGAAAGACGATCTTTTCCTACTTTTCTCCAGATGACTTTAAATTAGTGTCAATCATTTGCATCGGAAGTGAAGTATCTTTAAAAGCGCAGAGAAACATCGTAACACTTCAAGAGTGTCTGAATTTCACCGTGTACAGCGGGTACTCTAAGGAAAGGAGCAAAGGCTTCTCACTCAAGAAAAGTTTGCAATATGAGTTGGGTAGATAAAAAAAAAACCTAGAGACGCCAGGGACTGAACGCAGCACCTCATACATTCGAAGCATGCGTTCTGCCACTAAACTATCTCTTGAAGCAGTGCTGGTAGATGTAAAGGAAAATGCTACAGAGGATGAAACGTATTTAACATTGAAAATATAAATTGTACAACTCAAGTAACTAAAGGACAAAAGGCCAACTATTTTGGGTGTTTGCAATTGAGTGAAGCAAAACAAGCGCCCGAACAGGGACTTGAACCCTGGACCCTCAGATTAAAAGTCTGATGCTCTACCGACTGAGCTATCCGGGCTCGTAGAGGCAGACCCTACCGGCAGCGTGCTGGCGAGTCACGTGTCTCTTCTTGTGGCAAAGCGCAGTCATACCTGACCCGTCTGGGACGACACCCGACAGATTTTACCCAGAAGCGACAGCACTACTCCCAGTAGGATGAGAAATACAGTGAGACATGGGGCGTCAAGGGGCTCCCTCAATTCATCCTCCGTCTCATCGAGGGCAGAGAAAAGTAAAGGCACTGTGCACATCTGCGGGAAATCATGTCGGAGTTTAGTGACAGCGACTTCAGAGACTGGACGCTAGGAATTTTTAGGATACTTTTAAATTATATTTTCAAACAAACCTGAATACTTTTGCAAGAAAAATTTCAGAATCCCTGTGAAATCCAGTACGAGTACGGTTTACGTTCTCCCATTCCCGCTTTCTGACCCGTATTTAATTGCGATTTATTCTGATTGCATATTAATTGATAAAATATAGAAAAATTATATAAATTACAAAATCTTATGACAGTTCAGGTCTTACACGTCCACCGAAGCGATGAGAGATGATTTGCATAATAAGTCACAGCTTTTCGTTACTTTAAGAACAGTAGGATTGTTTTCAACTGGTCAAATTCCAGGGAGTCGAAAAACATTTGGCAGCGGTGGGATTCGAACCCACGCCTCCGAAGAGACTGGAGCCTTAATCCAGCGCCTTAGACCGCTCGGCCACGCTACCTCCACGCTCTCTGTTTTCGTTGCTGGCTCTCTTAACTGCATCTTTGTTTACTGAGCTGTTTCCTCTCTCTTGGTGAAATCTCTACTTCTCTGGTACCTCTGCATATAGTTCTTCTTAGCGGGAGGCTTCAGAGCTCAGCGTATAGCGTCCTTGAAGTCATTTTACTTTTACAGGAGGAGGCTTTCTGAAACGTGTAGCGCCTCCTAAAATTAGAAACTTTTAGAGGGCTCGATCTGGCGAAAAGGAGGAGGTCAATTTAAATTCTCTAGAGTGGGAGGCCTTTGCTCGTTTCCTTTAGAGTACCTGCTATACACGGTGAAATTCAGACACCCTTAAAGTATTAAGATGTTTCTCTGCGCTTTTAAAGATACTTCCGATGCATTTAGCTTTGTTAACGATCAAATTTCTGACTGCTTGGTTAACTACTGTTCTTAAAGTAACGAATTATAACATGACACCACTGCAAGAGGACGAAAGCTGTGATTTTTTATGCATTTCATTTCTCATTGATGTGGTGCACGTGCAAGACCCGAATTGTTATAAGTTTTTGCATTCCCCCATATGCGAAACTGCTGCGAATTATTCTACATTTTTATCAGTTAATACGCGGTCAGAAAGCAGGAATGGGAGAACTAATGCAAACACCAGCGTTATGACAGCCTGTGCGAGGAGAGGGTCCGAGCATTAATTGCTAGGTTGCGCAGGCGGTTAGAACACAGCTTCTTGCTTCTGCTTCAAACTCTGGTGTGGAATCGATCGACACCGTCGCGGAACACACATTCGCTCAACGCTGGCTTTTGTGATTGTCTTGGACAAAAGTGACACAATCCTTCGAGTCGGATTCGAACCAGCAACTTAAGACTTGCTCGTGATCTACTACAGTCTTTCGCTCCATCGACTGAACAAGTAGACGGGCCTGACTGTTTTCCTTAAGTGAAATGGGAGTATATTACGTCAATTTAGAGATTTAGTCAGGAAAGCTATGAAGGTGGATTTCTGTTTTTCTGTGTACTCCACGTAGATCATCTCCGCGAAAGCTCTTGTAACAGTACAGGACACGAAGTGAGGAGTTCGCGCAGCTTTCAGCTCAATGCGGAGTCCAGAGGGAGTCTCACTCGCTGAACGGGTTTTTAAGAAATCCTGATTGAGACCCAACAACAGCCACGACAATTCAGACGACCTGCTGTTGCTTTCCTGTAGATTATATTAGAATAATTTAGAGTGTATGTTATGTAAAAGTTTTCGTAAGCTTAGACCTTGCAAATATACTGTAGCGTACCCCCAAAGTAATCTTTGCTTCATTAAGCCACACAGATAACACTTCAGGAATTGAACGCAGGACACCAGCAAGGCATTGAAAAAATGCTAACCACTGCACCCCCTTGCATTGTGCTATTTTTCTTTAAGGAGCTTTAGAACCTTGTATATTTCGTCAAGCTAATGTGTTTTTTTCCCATTTTAGCTAAGCAAAAAAAAAGACTGCAACAAGTATGGAGTAGTTTCAAAATACATATAAAAAACTATGGCTATTTTGTGATGAAAGAATTCTTGAGAGAGCCATTGCAGACAAGACGTCAGCATTAATAATGCACTATAAAGAAATCTGAAAATGTGTTGCATGATTACTTTTAAGCAGGGTAAAAGTTATGAAAGCACTGTGTCAATGTGGTGCATTCAAGTAATAGTAATGAAGAATTGGTATATAAATAACAAAGGACTTCAGAGCTTGTGGCAGAAAACATAAACTAGTTCAATGTTCAGATCTTCACGGAAACTGAAGAGTGGACTTTCTCCCTTCTTTCATGTTATTGGCACGCTAGCTTTCTTCTCAGGTTACTTGTTCTGGGTTGTGTTAGGCTGTGGATAGACAGTGCTGTGCCATACAAGCCTCTCCCTTACCGAGTAGTCAATTTTATGCCACATCTCTTATTCTTAGGGCTTTGTAATTTTGTCCTCAATTGCTACCAAGTCCAATTACTTACGTTTGATAGATCATAGTTCTTTTGCAAGAAATACTGTTGCATCAATATTTTGATATAGTCTAGGCAACGTGAACTCAGTACCAAAAGTAATGTTTTTTATTTTTTATTTTTGAGGTTTTTTGGTACAGCAATGGAAGCAACAGTAACAACAATGTCTAATGACCCAACAGAACAAATCCTAAATTTTACTGACCTAACAGAATCTTGTGGAACCCCCACCTCACTCCTGCCAATGTAACAAGTCCTGACTCTCTGTGGTCATTAAGAATCCCAGGGTGTTTCTTGAAAAGAGTAGGGGTGTAACCCTGGCGTCCTGGACAAATTTCCCATTGGCCCTTACCAATCATGGCCTCCTAATAATCCCCATCTATGAATTGGCTACATTACTCTGCTCTCCTCCCCACTGATAGCTGATGTGGTGAGCGTTCTAGTGCACTATGGCTGCCGTCGCATCACCCAGGTGGATGCTGCACATTGGTGGTGGTGGAGGGGAGTCCCCATTACCTGTTATTGCGCTTTGAGTGGATTGTCCTGAAAAGTGCTATATAAGTGTAAGCAATTATTTTTATAACAAATGGTTCCGTGTCCTACAGACACATTTCAGCCAACACACATTTTAGCTTTCCTCCTCCAGGCAGTGAATGAATCACCTACAAGAGCTGTGAGGAGAAGACATGGTGAAAATCATGCCAACAAAGGAAGTGTGATGATCTCTGCACAGACATGCACAAGATCCCAAAACAAAATCCAAGATAATGTCACTGTGAGGAAGCAGTACTAATATCCACACAAGTGTGCCCTACAAGTAATGATACTCCCACCTCAATCATTAAGGTCTGATAGCCACATACACTTTGCTGCCACAAATGTGATAGAGGAAATGCTGAACAGGAAATGAAGACAAACAGAAGGGGCAAATACAGTTTGTGCATAAGAAAATATATTGATTTCATTAAAAACAAGAGGAAACAAAAAGTTTATCACAAACAAAGGTTTGTTTCACAAAAAAGAATGTTTCTGCCCTCCATTCTGCAGTATTTCAGGGGCAGAAGCATCAATACTAATAAATATGGCTTCAAAATATCTCCCACAGTCTATCAGTTCAGGATTCTTTCGGCAGCAAGGATGTCCAACCCTAGTGCTTGTGACACAGTGACCTGTGACCTTTGTTTCATTAGATAAACGTTATTATTATAACTGATCTCTCAATGCCTTTTCTTTGTTTGTTGTTGTTGAAATCTGTAACGTCTCAGGAGCAAAAAGCGATCTTTGACAGTCTGAATGAGTAAATGGTTAATTCTTCTTAGGACTGAGTGAAGTAACCAATAGCTCAGATGTAATGTGCTGTAAGGTCAATAATTCTAGTGTCACAAGCTGGGCTGGAGAACCCTTCTTTACAACAAGTTCATTTTTATGATTTGTCTACTGATAAATTAAAATGCAATTCCTAACATCAGAACAATTGGCATAGTAAGGACAATATCATTTGTGTTACACTAAAGTTAAATAATTTAAAAATAAATATTGTTAATTTCCCCTTCAGTCCTTAAGGCATTTGAGAGTTGTGTTAATGGATGGTGAAATGTTGTTAAACTTATCTTCTTGCTCTTGTGTAATAGAAGTACTACCAATGGAATGCTTCCCAAAGTGCTTTTAAATGTCATTAAGTCCTTTTTTATCAAATCTAAAGTAACATATTACACAACATTAGAATGGACATTCAGCACATTTCACTTGTTTGCTTTCAGGTAGATCTCATTCGGAAATGTCTTCAAGTGTGTTAATCCAATAATATGGTAGCTTCTTTGACATCCATTGGAGGTATCTTTCTGTTTTCTGTCACAATTTCAAAGTTGAGCAATAATGAGGGGTGTCTGTGTGGCATGTGAACTCTTCAAATAGCTTCATTGTGTCTCGCTCACTCCAGACAGAAAGGATGATAGTGGTTTCAACAGCAACCCAAAGCAACAAGTATGTTGATCCTTAAGATTCCAGAATCAAAGCTTAAAAGCCACATCAAAGACTCTAGAGTAAAGATTCTTAATAGGATTCAAGTAAAGAGTTTGATTGGACCATTTAAGGACATTCGTTTTGTTTCTCTTAAGCTACTCCAGTGTAGTTCTGGCATTGAGGTTTGGGTAAGGAGTTTTCACATGCCTTTCTACAGCTTGGAGTTAAGGGTCTTAAAAGAATATCTACTGGTACGTTTTTGTTGTGAGTGCAGGAATATCCAGGAAGTGTATTGGAGATGACAGATGTCATTGGATCAGCTTGTATTCTTGGGTCTTTGGAGACAGTCAGAGTTAGAGCAGAAGATCCCATTCCATTTGAAGATTTGGTTGTCATTTTCAGAAACGTTTTCAAAGGTGAAATCAGGAAGACCTGAATAACATGAAAAGAAAAACATAAATTATTTGAAGATTCCTGCTTCTTATAAACCACCTCAAAAGCAAAAGATAAGGGTCTGCACATTTACTATTAAAATGAGACGTCTTTTGAACTATATGTACTAATACATTAAAGGCTACTTTTTATTAAGTGGCTTGTAAATGACAAAATCTTTTTAAAATGTTGAACAAAAAATTAATGGATTGGCAGATCTGTAAAACCAGCAAACAAACATACAAAAAAAAATGTTTTACCCTTTTAGAAAAGACCATTTCTTGTTGGGTACTGCACTTGGTATGACTGTCTTCGATGCCATCTCCGTCTCCATGCAGCACAGCAGCCACATAATAGACACTGTAATACAGAGACAAGCACTGATCACTGACACAACACACACTGTAATACAGAGACA